TCAGTTTTTCTCTCCGTCTGCTGGGATTTTTTTTTTTTTTTTTTTTTGGTACTGTTGCCTCCTCTGTTTACTATACAGTCCCCTCCCAAGGTATTTGAACGACAAGGCCAGTTCTGTTGTTTTTGCTGTACGCCGAAGGCATCGAGATTTGAGATCAAAAAATGAATGAGACAATAGATCAGAATTTCAGCTTTTGTTTCCTGATCAGTGCCTTGGGTATATTAAAGGACTGTTTAAAAAGGCTGCGTCGAGAACCTTGTTGTGAATATTTGCAAAGCATGTGGTATGTCTGGAGGCAGTTGACTGCATACCGTCCCCTCCGATATTGAAGGGGCAAGGACTCTTGTTTGCTATACGCTGAAAACATTTGAGCTTGAGATCAAAAGATGAATATGAGATGATGGATCAGAATTTCAGCTTTCATTTCCTGATATTTACATCTAGATGTATCCAGCAGCTCAAATGACACCTTTTGTTTGAACCTACCCATATTTTCAAGTGATTAAAAATATTGGAACAGGCGTTTCTTGTTGCCCAGATGTGCCCTGTTAGATTGATTCTTTAAACAGTTAATAGTTCTGAATGTCTGCTCTTGGTTTGTGCCTGGGGTTTTGCCTGTAAAGACTGCATTAGTTTTTAAAAAGGATAAACCAACATGAAGACCAGAGAGCTGTCTATGGGAGAAAAGCAAGCCATTCTGAAGCTGAGAAAGGAGGTAAAATTGATCAGAGCCATTGGGCATAGCCAGTACAACAATTTGGAAAGTCCTGAAAAAGAAAGAAACCACTGGTGTACTAACAACCAGACATCGAACAACAAGAGGTGATGACAAACATTGTGAAGGCTGTGAAGAAAAACCCAAAAATAACAGTCGGTGACATCACCAACAACTTCCACAGGGCAGGGATGAAGGTATCACAGTCCACCATTTGAAGAAGACTTTGAGAGCAGAAATATAGACGTTGATTGAAATTCACAAAGAAATACAGAGATGAGCCACAAACGTTCTTGAACCAAGATTAACCTCTACCAAAGTGATAGAAAGCCCACACTGTGTAGAAAGAAAGGCTCTGCTCATGATCCAAAACATACAAGCTCATCGGTCAAGCACGGTGGAGGTAGTATCATGGCTTGGGCTTCAATGGCTGCTTCTGGAACGGGCTCACTAGTCTTTATTGATGATGTAATTCAATTCAGTTTATTTGTATAGTGCTTTTTATAGCATGTAACACATGATGGTACCAGCAGAATTAACTCAGAAGTGTACAGAAACTTTCTGTATGCCAATTTACAGAGAAATTCATCCAGTCTGTTTGGGATGAACTTCATCATACAGCAAGCAGCCAGACCTTAATCCAATTGAGTATGCATTTCATTGAAGGGAGAACCTCACGAAAAAACTAACAACAACTGAAAGAAGCTGCCTGGAAAAGCATCACAAAAGAAAAATGTGATGTCGGTGGGTCACTGGCTTGGACCAGTTATTGCAAACAGTGGATATGTAACCAAATATTAAGTGTTGTTTACTTTAAGGCTATCTGTTCCAATATTTTTGCTCACCTAAAAATTGGGTGGTCTGCCCCCAAAGGCGCGCAAGTTGTTTAACACGTCTAGATGTAAATATCACATACCGTAACGGAATGCAGATGTACTGTGATGGCTTGGGATTGCGATTGCTGTGGTGGCTTTGGGGCTGCGTTTGCTGCAAGCAGTTTTGTACTCAGGACTCCATCAGTGGACAGTGGATAGGCTCAACAAACCGGACTTCATGTGAGAACTGTGGTGAATTTCCTGGTTGCACTATTGCACTATTTGTCCATGTAGTACACAGTTATAGAAGGGATTTATTGATGATTGCACTATCTGTTAGCACCCAGATGAGGATGGGTTCCCCTTTGAGTCTGGTTCCTAACATGGTTTCTTCCTCATATCGTCTCAGGGAGTCTTTCCTTGCCACCGTCGCCTCTGGTTTGCTCGTTAGGGATAAATTCACGTATTTGCAATTTATTTTGGTTTAATTTAATTTGACTGTGCTTACTTCTGTAAAGCTGCTTTGTGACTGTCCATTGTTAAAAGCGCTACATTTACATTTACTGACTTGACAACATGCACATTTCTGCAGTTCTGGTAGGGGATTTGCTTTCAGTGAGGCTAACTGTGGGTGGGCCCACATGAGGAACTTTTATGCAAGGAGGAGAGAGACATCTGATCTCCTGCCGCCCTGGTGTTTAATACGAGTGCCACACTGTTGTCTGAATGGACCTCACATGTCTCACACCGGGACTCCACGTAGCCCATGTGGTAACACATCCCGACTGTTCTGACAGACCCAAGGGAACGACTGCTGCAGTCAGCAGTCCTAATATCCTCGTAATATCCTCAGATTTGCCACACTTTGAATGGCCTGCTGCATGATGGGGCCACACAGGAGCCAGATGTCCAATTACAGCTGCATCCTGATGTCTTTCGCCAGGTGGCTAAAGGAGGGTCTTGGTAGGAAAAAGAGCTTCCCCCTGCTGTAGTTTCCATTTTAGGTACTGAGAGAGAACCTACACCATTTGATCAAAACAGACATGTGGGATCATAATAGACCAAAATTGTTACTCCAGTACTGTGTGCTGAGGCCATTCAGCGGTTTTAGGTCATTACTAGTATTTTATAATGAATGCATAATTTTACTGGGTGCTAGAGCTGCAAAAACTAATATATTAATAGTTGATTATTCTTCTGAATTAATCGGCTTAATGGTGGCTTAGAAATAAGAATGAATGACTAGCAAATCATCATTTGGAATATTTATTGTTCTTTTCAATAATATCATTTAAAACAATTGTGAGGAGCAACTTTTAACATCTTATTACTTTATTTTCTCCTCTAATGATCTAAGGATTCTTCACTTTCCCTACAATAGCCAATTACATGTCAAATTAAAATTACAAGTAAGGACGCTGTGACAGCAGTGAGTTAGAAAAGCATGAACTAGTTATTCTGCATCGTGTCATTACTTTTTAAGTATTAGCTTAGCAATGTTTCTCAGATGCAGAAGGGCTGCGGTGTAGCAAGGGAGACCTAATGGGAGCTCAAGGCACATATTTAGTGGCTTGCAGGTCACTAAACCATGATATATAGTGTTTCTGATTCTGGATAGGAAGTGGGTTCAGGGTGTAAGCAAATGGTTTCGTTGTATTTCATCTTGTAATGGTAAGACCTCCATTTTTCATTGTGAAATTTAGGTGGAATTTATCAAATGGTATTTTTTCATTGTTCTTATTGTCTGTCCTGTGTAACCTTCTCTTTAAACTGATACATTAAATGTTTGGAAGGTTTTTTTTTTTTTTTTTTTTTTAAGTTGGAAGGTTTATCTGACTAATCCAGAAGTTCTTCTCAAACTCTTAACCTTTTTTGATTATTTATTTGTATTTTTTTTTAAAAATTAATTCAGCTCGTTTGCTTAATATCTGACCTGGGTCTATTTTAATGGTTATGTCTTCTGACGGTTTTTTTTTTTTCCCTGTTCTCTGTTTTACACTATATGGTCTTAGTATAGGTTCCTTCAACTTTGCTCCTTCGTGTCCTCCGTGGCCTGTGGTTACGTAACCTTCCTAACAAAGGTTATTGTAACTGGAAGTTGAGGACCAGACGCTCGACCCTTAAGCGATATCAAAGCTTGCCCTTTCTTGAAATGTCCATTCGTCTTAATAAAGTGTCCAGAATTGCACTTTGGCCCCAAGACTAGAATCTTCTTTGTGTTTGTCATGTCTTTTTGTCTTCTCCGTCTGTTTCTACCATTTTGCGCTCCGTTTTTGCAGACAGGTTGACAGGAAATGACTCTGATCGGAAATTACACCCACTTCCTTCCTCCCTCTCCCTCTCCCTCTCACTCTCTCTCTCTGTCTTGTGCTCTCTTTCTCTCTCTCTCTCTCTCTCTCTCTCTCTCTATCGTAACACAGGCGACTCTGGAGACAGGGCTATGAGACTGATTAAAGTGAGTGATAAATACTCAGTCATTACTGGCTACAATCCAGCGCAGATAGACTTCAGTGCGAAGAACCGAGTCACTGTGTCAGGCAGCTGAAAAGAATGTGCCGAGACGTTTAGTGTGCACAGACATTTAAATTCTCCCACGTGTAATATTTCTCTAGTGCCCATTTTTTGTGTCAATTTTGACCGTTGTCTTTTTTTTTTTTCTTTTTCAACTACCGTTATGTATGCTCACTTGAAGTATCCATTGAACATTGTCAGTTGAACAATTGAACAAGACCATAATGTAGCACTGCTCTAAACAGTACATTATTCTAATAATGTACCCACAAGATGTCTAATGATTGTCCCAAGATGCAATATGATGATGATGATGTTGTTGTTGTTGTTGTTGTTCCTCTTTCGGCATTTCCCGTTAGGGATCGCCACAGCGGCTCGTCGGTCTGCGTATTTGATTTGGCACGGTTTTTATGGCGGATGCCGTTCTTGATGCAACCCTCCCCAATTTTATCCGGGCTTGGGACCGGCACTGAGAGCACACTGTTGCACGCTGGGGTCGGCTCCCTGGCCGAGAATTGAACCCGGGCCGCAGCAGTGAGAGCGCTGCGGCCTAACCACTAGTATATAAATATAAGTATCCAGACTACGTCAGTGGAAGGTGACCTGTTTACTTGAAAAAAGCAAGTTAACAACAACATGTTACAGGAGTGTATTTAATACATGCTTTTAGTAGCTAGAAATCTACTTAAACGTTAACCTTTATATGTGGCCAACAAAGTAACTTACATGTTAACACACTCACTAATGGAAACACAAACTATTGCAGTAGGAACTTGTACAGGAACTTGTTTAAAATGGCTCCAGAACTGTTTAATTCCTCAGAATCGGTAACTTCTGTGGAAACATGCCTGGTGACTGCTTTGGGCTCCTGTTGCTTTTTATCTGTATTTCCTCCAATGATCTATATCTGTTAGTTGGAAAATGTTTAAATCACACGACTGTGCTTTCATGTTTCGCAGGAGCTTAAGTGACGGACGTCGGCCCCACCCACTTTAGCATGGACTGTGAAGACGCCCAAAATGGGGTAAGGAATTAAGATAAGCTTCTTGTGGTGGTTTAAACATTGTTGTTGGGTTAATCTGTAATTAACTGCAGTAATTATGTTCTCTGTCCCAGTGGTTTTACATTTTAGTAAATAAAAAAGGGTGTTTTCCCTGGGGAAAAAAAAAAAACTACTACCAGAGCATGGGTGGATTTTTCGTGTCCTTTTTTTGTTGACTACATATATTGCTAGAATTTCCTGTTTCTTGGATAATGTAATTAGAGTACACTCTTCACTTGCAATAAGCATTTTTGTTTTTGATTTAGCAGTGCTTTTAACCGATTTGCAACTCCATGAGTTTTCTGCTAACTTGGGCAGTTTCATTTATGATGTTGCATTTGCATACCACGATGCATTGAATGAGAGATGTAAAAAAAAAAAAAAAAAAAAAAATCTTTCAGTGTCATTAATTTGAAATGTCAGAAATTTGGTTACAAAGAAGAAGAACATTAAAGCAAGGTGATCTTATCTTACCTCTCTGTTTTACTCTTAAAGGATGAGAGATAAAGAAATGAAAAAGTAACCAAGATTATTTTGGTTCTTTTATCAAGTTTATGTTGATGGCATTCGGCAAGGCATAAGTAACACGAACAGAAATATTCGAAAGCTTCCGTATTGCCCGCGTATTCTAACATCTGTTTCACTATGGCGTACTGTATTTCCACATGCTTTTAACTCTGAACAGTGAAAAAAATGCTTTCTTTTAGCCACCTTGCCCCCAAAATGGCCAACTTCTCAAAGGCCCAAGATGCCAGGCAAGACCTTGGTTTCAACTGTTGCTTTTGCTTGTGATTGTAACACCCTGGCTGTTTCTTTCCTGAGCAGTTTTGCTGCCCCAAATGGTACAATCCAATATGCCATATCATTACACCCCTGGTATTTAACTGTGTCCCCAGCCAGGTCATCTGTGGGCCTACGGGTTGAGCTTCTTCCATAATGAATCGCAAACTGATGACTGTGACTTCGTAGTCCAGGAGGCACCCCTGAATGCAAGAGGTCCTAGTATGTGCTTAAGTGGATGCTGTACCAAGAATGCTGATCAGCCGAATCCAGAATATTTGTCAGATTCCCAAAATACTTACTTGTCTTCAGGGACTGCTAGACAAAGGCAAGTTCCCATCTACACTCGAGGTGTACAGTATGTGGTAGGCATTGCAGCATGTCACAACACTGTGAATGGCATCTCTCTGGGGGCTCAAACTTATTCCGACCTTGCTAGAAGGGACGAGGCATGTCCAGCTGCCATGATTCCCCAACAGCATGGTATCTCCCCCTCCCCCTGCTGCTGAAGTCCCTTTAGGCCCCTCTTTACGAGCATATGCAAGATTCCGAACTGATATGGTCGCTGTGAAAACTGCCTTTGTGTTAGAAAAAGGCAGGAAGAAAGTGAGGGCACTGCATGCTCTGGCTATACGCTCGCCTTGCATGCGCTGGTGGCCAGATAACTTGGGGGTGACCATGTGGTTAAGGCTGGGATGTCTGCCCAGTTTGCCCACAGTTAAATATTAGGGGCATATTGGATTGTGCCATTCTGTACAATGCTCTCGAGTCGGTACACGGATCACACAAACACTGTGGCACTATTGTGCTTCAAATATTAGTCTTTTATAATGTTGAATGTTTTAATCAGTTGAAAACGGAAACCGGAGACACATCGAAGGAGTGCTTAATTTATGCTTATGTACTGTATCACATCGCATTATATCGGATTTGAATTTCGTGTATTGTTCCATCCCTATTAAACATGTAGCATTACTGACGCAAAGTGTTAGCGATGTTAGTGTTTTAAAAACATGTTTCATACAGTGACATTGCAGTCAAATTTTGCAAAAAAAATTGATCTGAATATGGCACTTGTCCACTCGTTTTCAGTCAGCTCAATCATTTGCTGGGTTAAAATTTGAATTTGGTGCATTAAAGAAGAATGTGAAGATGGCACATACTAATTCTAATACTACCCCAGCTGTGCCAAAATTATAAATTATATTAGTTATTACCGTAATGCATAATTACATTTATTTATGCTTCTGAATAAAATCTGATCCAAAAAACTACAAGATAATGAATAAAAATGTAATGTCACTAAAAGTCACCTAAAAAAAACTCACAAAAAAGCACTTAGGCAAATGCAAGTGCTGCTATCGGCCACTAGCATAAATTGTTCACAAATGTGAGCTATGGAGCACTACTGTTTCCAGCCCTACTTGATCAAGTGTTTATTTTTATTTTTTGTTCCTGAATTCCAACTGCTCTCTAGAATTTTAAACTTTCTCTGTTTCCAACACATCTGATCCAGCTCATGCACTAATTATGAGCTCCACCATGGGTTGAATCAGGTTTATTGGAAGCAGGTTCAGCTTGAACCTGTGCAGGCTAGTTGAGGATGGTATTTACATAGATGGGTAAATATCAATGACATTACTATGAATAAACGAGTAAAGACAAATCTGTATCATTTGAAATTTAGGATAAAATTTTTAGTACAATGTGATTTTATGAGGTTTTTTTGGGTTTTTTTTTTTTAAACAAAAGGTAAAATAGATAAACATAGCGTAGCTCTACTGGTGTTTATTTTTCCGTGACAGCAAAAAAAAAAAAAGCCATAAATAAAAAATATTGTATGTAGTTATATTTGTAAAGAAATTTTGAAGTCCAGGTGTATGAACATGCAAATCTGGTGGTAATGTCGTTAGACGTTTTGACTGACTGCACAGTTTGCATTTCTGCTTCTTGCTTAGAGATGCAGTAAGTCCTCTCTCTCCTCTTCCAAATTGCACTACATCGACTAAATGCGAGAGACACAGCCACGTATGTTTTATCTCTGGTTTATGAAAGCCACTGAGTATTATAGCAGAGCATAGTTGCGAATAGTTTAAAGCTTTTGACAGATACAGATGATTAAAAATCAAGTTTGCGGATGCATTCTGCTTGACTGACCACTAATCAAAAATAATAGGGATTAGCTTAAGGTGTTTATTGGAAAGACGTCAGTCAACTGGCTAAACTGGCAATCGGATGAAAAGGATCCCAAGAACAAACGTGAACTTATGAGAAAGCGACTACACTGTACCTAAGTTATAAATGTCAGTTCGAACATTCTCTCTCTCTCTCTCTCTCTCTCTCTCTCTCTCTGTTTAAGCGGGGGTTGTCAGGTGCGCACTGTTCTCCTCTAGCCAGAAGCATAATAGGAGCAGAGGATGAGGACTTTGAGAATGATCTGGGCCAGGTGAGCCACTTATTCCTTCTCAGTACACTGCCATTTATATGTTGATTTAATGTAATTTAATTGCTGGGCATTATCAGTCATTCATTGTGAATACCCCGATGAGCAAAAGACCCTTTTGCTCATGTTACCAGACTGCGGTTCATTTTAATCTTGTTGCTTCTCTCCTCTTCTCCTGGCGCGTTTCAGGCAGTGGATGATCAGTGCAGTCATTTTAACAGTATCGAACTGCTGAAAAGCAAACCCACCCACCTGCTGGTCTTCCTCCATCACGTCATCCTGCAGTTTGACTGTGCTCCTCTGGTGAGAAGTTGAGAGGCTTCTGCGTGCCTGACGTGCTATATGTGATACCATCGTTGTGTCATTAGTAAACACTAATGACTAATGGTCATCGATGGAAACTGGTTGCTCACCAACAAACCGCAGTTTGTCTGTTTGTGTCAACACGCGTGCATTTATGTACGCGTGTGTCTATTTTTATTAGGATTATGCATGCATTTTTTTTTTTTTTATTGTCGCCGCATGCGCTCCAGTTTCATGTGTTTGTAACTGCGGATTTGGTCGCACACTCTGGTGGTTTATTTATTTGACTCTAATGCTGTTTCTATTTAGCATGTAAATGTACTTTCAATTAAGTATTTGTACTTTCAATTTGATATTTAGGTCTTATACCTTAGTGTGTGAGAAAATGTTGTGCAATGTTTATTTAAAAGTGATTAAGTGCAGTAAGATTTTGTATTTTGTTTCTAAATTGGCCGAATAATTGAGACAAAATTTCAAAATCTGAACAAAATACTTGTCGTTTTATCCGTTACCGTGTAGCCCTGAGAATCCCAAAAGCTGCTTGAAATAGCATGGTACTATTAGCACGGCCTTAGACAAAGTGCGACGCGCCAAGCACGTCCGTTTAGTCTGAATGTTTAAAAGATGCGTCTTTAAAATTTCCGACGTCTCAGAGTAAGGCTGCATGTCATTATATTGCCTATAGTGTGGTGATGCTTGAGAATTTATATTTAAGAGATTTGCCATTTTAAGGGTTAAAATGATTCTGATTCATCTTGTGAAGCATGAGCATCTCTCCCTTTATTTTGCATGCTGCAAAGTGACCCTCCCGAGGTACTGTTCCCTAACACAGCACATCCTAGCCACTCTCTGTTTTCCTGGTAGTGCACATGTACGTAAATCCTGCTTTGGGTGCCATGGGTACAACAAGAATGTATAATATTTGTTGTCTTCTTTCCCATTTCTTCACTTGGAATTTCCTCAAATGACACCTGCAGCTACTGATAAACCATGTTCTAGTTATA